ACAATCAGAATATAGGGAAAAAAAAAATATAATTTTAAATGCCTCCTTTGGAGGATAATAGATTTCTGCAATGTAAGTTCTGAATCAAGGCTGACCCTCTGTCCTTTCATTGTATCATTTTGCCTTTGACTCAATTAGTGTTTTAATTCACTTTCAAAGGTACTGTCCTAAGGATGAAGCATCAGTCTTGATATTGGTAATTGCTATGCAAAAAAATCTCCCAAAACCATGAAGTCATCTAAAAGTAGGCATTTACACAGGCATGGAAATTCTCACCTAACGGCAATAACTTTCCATTGGGAAAACTAAACTAGCGCTTGGGCCTTACTCACAATAACTTATAAGGGCTGTTTCTTTGCAAAACATTTGCTTAATGCTGGAGGATACATGATAGAGGGAACTCATACATGTCTTGCTGACACCCCTCACTCCCAGGAAACTGTGGGATATAGTGCTGGACATGACGTTACCTTGGGTACATGACAGTCAGCCCCTAACCAGGCTCTGTTTTACGGGCCTAGGTGGCACTGTGTTTCAGTCCTTGGTAAGGTACGAACTTGTGGTAATTGGGGCAACTGTGGCAAACATTTCCGCTCTTCTTTTCTTCCCAGTCCTATATGACTTTACTGGTGTTGATTTTTAAATGAAACAAGCAATTAAAAAACAGTTGGTGATGGTGGGCTTGTTGGGAAGTCTGTTAGTATTATGGTGTCTAAGTGTCTGACTGGCAGGGCCTAGGAGCAACTACATCAGAAAGGTACTTTTCTACTTTTTTCCTTGCAGAATTCTAGGCAGAGTCTGGCGCTGGAGTTGGCTGTCATGTCCAAGTCTGTCAGCTTTTTTTGTTTGAAACAGCAAGGGTAAGATGAACTGCAGGGTAAGATGGGCTGTTTTTAAATACAATAGTCCAGTTATGATACCACTTCTTTTTTCCTTTTCTTTGGCTTTTTTTTTTTTTTTTTTTTTTTTTTTCCGTTCTGTTCTGTTTTTGGCATTGATGTTGAAAGTTTGGCATAATCTTTCTTTATATGAAGATGTGTTACCTTGCTGGACCATTTCCTTAAATGATTCAATATGAACACTAAAATTTAACAGGAATAAAATAGTCCATCTTGCCTTCATTCCATTTTACCCAGAAGATCTCAAAACAGGCATAGTGACCAACTAAAAAAAAGTGATTTCTGTGGTATAATTATGTAGTGGATATGGTAAATCTGTTTCTTTGAAAACAAGTTTTCAGATACTTCTACAAGATCTTATATAAACTTTTTTCAGTGAAGCTTGAAATTGTTTATTTGACATCATTAGAAAATTCATTTCATTCAATTATAATGTTTTGGGAAAAAAAAATCCATACATGTTCATTTATAATAAATATTTGCAGTTGTAAATTACATTGAATTTTATTTTTCCTATTTTTAGTAATTAGGCACAAGAGGAGTTTATGTGCTTCAATTTATCTCATTAGATTCTAAATTAGCATTAATAATTATGCAAATTACTATACAGTGTTTGTAGCCCCCTCCATTCTTTAGTGCCATGAGCAGGCAACTCCAGCAATGCATTATAATCTATCTTTATCCAGTTTATGCATAGCAGTCTAATCTTTTCATTGCTGTTCTATCAAATTAAATATGTGGCGTAGCCAACCATATTAATATGAAATTGTGGGGCTAACTATAGAGATGGGAGATGTTCTTTTTTTAAATCTAAGCATTCAATAAACAATCCTGCCTTGTATTTGCAATACAAATAGCAAAATTCATTGATTCCTTTATATTTTATATTATGTATTTCAGATATGAAATGCTTTATTTCATATCTTTTCCTTTTTTTTTTTTTTTTTTTTTTACTTAATCAAATTAGATTTATGAAATACTTAAACAATGCTTATTTCATGCCTTAAAGTTAAAGAACTATATAAGTGCTTCAATATTAATATTAAGTTAGAGGCTCAATCCAGCCATGAATTTTTCTGGAAAACCAGTTCAAGTAAATGCTTTTTTCACTTTATTTATTTATTTACTTTAAAGCACTGATAACCGAGTCTCCCATTACTATTCTTTGATTCCCACAGCTCCAAAAATCCTGTCTTTATAAATGTAATCAGTTCTTATTTTTCATTTCAGTTGTGTGTGTTTTTACAAGCAGTACACATAAACCTGTAGCTTAAAGATTTTTTTGCACAGTGATTCCATCTCCCCACTGTGGCAAAAAGTGCTGAACACTTACTAATTATTTTCTGTGCGTTGGTTTCATCTTTCTCCCCTGGTTTTCATTAGGTTCTGAGCTCATGCCCAAAGCCCTCTCCACCAGGATAGTGGGAGGCATTTGGTGGTTTTTCACACTTATCATCATTTCCTCGTACACTGCTAACCTAGCCGCCTTTCTGACAGTGGAACGTATGGAATCCCCTATTGATTCTGCTGATGATTTGGCCAAGCAGACAAAGATAGAGTATGGGGCAGTTGAAGATGGAGCAACCATGACTTTCTTTAAGGTAAGCTTTATATTCTGTTTGAAAAGATCCTATATCCTGATTTTGGGGGGAAAGTCTCTGCATCTTGCTACAGCAAAGGATACTATTCCCCCACTTTCAAAAGTAATTGAAAATCACTTTCTGAGGATTTCCTGAGATAGCAAGTGAAGCAAATGCAAAATTGCTCTCATGGGCAATAGCAGGCAAGTTCTCTGATGATTTTTGCTTAAAGAACTGAATGTATGGTAACAGAGTAGGTGAAGAAACGTGAACATTTTGCTTTGACAGATCTAATTCTGTGTACAAGAATGAGTTTTGCTGAAGTAGGTGTTACAGTATCATTATATATACAGTAGCATTATACTTAATATTAATCTTTGCTCAAGCAACTGGGCTTTTCTAAGAATATTACTGGCTGTACAGAGAATGTCTTTTGGACTTATTTTTGAGAAATTTTAAAATTTAATTTGTTCATAAAAAAAAGATCAGATTCTTCCAGTTTTTCTGTTCATTTTAGTCTGTTACTAAGGTAATTCCATCTGAAATATAGTGAAATATGCTGGTGGATTAGAAAGAAAGGTTTCTTTTCTAGCGTCATCAAGAATGTAAGTCAGCTCAAATTAATGAGAAGTATGCATGAGAGGAGAATGGTTTGTTCTATACCTCTTCATGTTTGATAGCACAGGCATATCCTGGATCATCCAGAGAGGTGTTTAAAGCTTGTCTTAAGGTCTTTTGAAGACTTTTAGCTGTTCTGTTTTTATGAGTTTATGAGTTTTATGAGTATTCTGTTTTTATGAGTTACTATGCTGTCACCTAAAGATTTGAGCTGACCATTAAGATGGCATTTGAAACTAGACAAAGTGAAGTCCAAGGGAAAAATGTAGGCTGGCCCAGAAATCAAAGAATGTATATGCAGTTCCCCTCATTAGATTCAGAGATGTTTGTTCATTTTTTAACATACTTGTTCAATGGCTAAATAGTTACTATTCGTTCATATGAATAGTATGATCATATTATGATCTTACAGCCAATCCAAATATACACATAGTTTTATTTATATATATTTTTAAAATAGTTATAGGGCTTTAAGCTTCTGCTTGGAAATAAAATTGATAAAACTTCAGCACTTTAGAATGCTTTGGAAACATTCGGAGTATTCTCCAGAATGCTTCTTAGAAAGGGAGCTGAGGAAGTTAATAGAAGTAACTAATCAGTTAGAGGTGTCTGGATGTCAGGAAATATTTAAAGCAATTAAATAAAATTGCTTCTTTCTTTTCTAAACTTTTGAAAGAAGGTTTAAAGACTGACATTTTTAAAAGAATGGAAATGATTTAAATCTGAGGACATAAAGGGATGACATTATGAATTGAGTTACCAGAAAACACTACAGAGCTTTATTTTCATTCTTGTCAAGCAGAAGACTGAACTTGTTCTGTTTCAGACTGAAACTGTGGATTCTAAAATATTAAGAAGCAATTTAAACTTAGGAGCGTCTTTTCCTGTAGTTGCCAGAAGCAACTCTTAACTCAGTCTTGCTCTCCCCCACCCCCCTTTAATTTTCTGCCATTTTTCTTTCATTTTCCTTTTGTATGTGTGTATGTAATCTGTGTTTTTAGCATACAGAAACTATTTCTCTTTCTTTGGATGTTTTTCCCCTCTGCATATTAATACACTGCTCCCTTTTCTGCACATTTCTTTCTTATTGCTCTGTTTCTATTTATTTAGATATATTTTGTGTTTTTCTACTATACTCAAGAACTAGAGAAGATTTACTTCTAACAGAATTGGAATTGCACATCTTGCATAGACATTTGTTTTAGTGACATGTTTTTGAAATACCCTAGACTTATAACAGAGTTATAGTGTCAGATCACATAATTTGGTATTGATTTTAGTATATTACCAAATTATTCTACTTCACTATGAATGAAACAGAAGTCAGAAAAAAACATGGGATTTTTGTATTCTCCTGATAAATTTTAGGTCAAATTAAGGTTTATTCTGCTGAACAAACATATTTTCTGGGCTTTATGTGTGATCAAGTTGTGTTTAGTGTTTTGTGACATGAAAATACACTGATACTTCAGTACTTCTGTTCCAGATAGCAAACAAATGATTCCAAATATTTTTCCAATTAGTTTACTATCTTAACTAAGAAGTATGGAATTTAATGAGTATTATTTTGTACATAGTAAAATGGATCCAAACATAAGCATTAGGAATAGGCACAACTGTTCTTGTAGTGAAGCCAATAAATGAAAATCATACTCAAAAGAGATGTAAAGGGAAACTGTACAATTTAATTTAATTCAGTGTCCGAGGCATCTTCCATTTTGAAATTAAAGTATGCTTGATGTAAATGCTTTTCACTACAGCTAGCTATGTAAGGAATACAATCTAATTAAATGTATTTCTCACAGAAGATAAAAGAAAATGTTTGGTTACAGTCTATCTGTTCCAGTAAACTTTCTGGTATAATTAGGTATTTTTAATTAATGAGGCTGAGATATCAGGAATCAAAATATTATAGGACTGGTCAACATACTCTATCTGTATTTGTGTGTTCACAAAGTAAATTTATCTTCTGTATATGCAATATACAGAATATATTCAGGAATATAATTTCCTTACTTCAAGAAAATGAAATGCAAGAAAATATTTTCAAAGCAGACTGGAAGTGGAATTGCCTTAAAAGTTACTACTACCAGAGTTGACTAGCTCATAGATACTACAGTTAAATTATAATATAAAAAGAACTTAAGAACAGGCACCTGATCAAAGAAGACAAAAAAGTTTCAGAAAAATGTCTTAAAGTACAGAAGTTACACTGGAGGTAGATAGTGAAGGAAAGACACGAGGTGCCTAATTTTTTCCGTATGGAGCTATAAACACTAGGATAAGTATGTTTTAAACTGCTTTTGGAATACTTCTGCTTTATCAATAAGCTGAATGTGAATTTTAAATAGTATATATCAGATTCTTTGTTATATGAACAAGTGAATCAAATAGGAAGCAACACTGCCTTTGTATTAGGGAACCAATGAAATATCCTGTTCTGGTTACCACACTTCAAAAATATGTTTAAAATTGGTAACAGTTCATAAAAGGCGAAAGAAGGTCTGGAAGAAAAAGCCTTATAGTTAGAGGATAAAGAAGATCAGTCTGTTTAATCTGCTGAAGAGAAGGTTAAGAGGTGACTTGATCATGGTTTGTAAGTGCCTTAATGGGAATGAGACTTTTGACTTGATGAGACTTGATGGCTGTTTAATCTAGCAGAAAAAGGCATAATGAGATCCAGTGTTTCAAAGCTAAGTTAGGCAAATTCAGACCAGAAATAAAGTGCACATTTGTAAGACTGTAAGTAATTAACCAGTGGTAGAATTTACCTAGGAGTGGGTTAGATTCATCCATCAGCCATTACGAGGAGAAAGATATAACATAGCCCAAGCACACTATCGTTTTGATTTAGAGTTTACTCAGTGAAATACATAGCCTTCATTAGCTCAGTTTAGACTTTAGTAGTCCCCTCCTACTTTAAAAATCTATGAGTGTGACTTCTGGAAGGGTTGCACAAAGATGACAAAGGGGATAAATTTATTATCTGTGTGTATGTTTTTCCTTAACTGCTTTATCTTGTTGTAATGAGAGTGGATTGAGCAAAACAGCAGCATTATGTTACAACATGAAATGAAGGCACCAGATGGTTTCCTAATGTTAAATTAAATTATCATATCTTGGTAATAGTTATTAGTTCCAATCACAGTGAGGCTCAGTAGCTGCCCATGAGACTGACAGTAATTTCTGCATAAATTATCTATATAGAAGTCCTGTGAATTTTGTCTTTAAAAAATTTGAACCTGGCCAAAGCTGTGTGTTGCTAAAATAGAACATTTTTTTTGAAGGAGAACCTAAATGGAAATTAGGCAAACAAGATAACTGCTAGATTAGAACCTGCTAAAGTTAAAATCTTGGAGAGCACCCGGGGTGTAAGAATACAGGTTTGCCCAGGGAGTTTGTGGAGTCTCCCTTCTTGGAGATATTCAAAAGCTGTTTGGACCCAGTCCTGGGCAAGCAGCTCTAGGTGTCCATGCTTGAGCAGGGTCGATAGACTAGATGACATCCACAGGTCCCTTCTAACCTAAACCGTTCTATGGTTCTATAGCGCTGTTACTGTTGCGAATGAAACTGTTATATGACTGGCAGGTCATGGTGGGCTATTTCACTGGGAACAATAAAATGACTTTAGTATTATCCAAGAATTGTAAGGAAATAATTGGGAAAAGAAATGTGAAAATAGATTCTAAGCCATCTCTGAGATAAGCGTGTTTCCTCTCCCAATACACATTTTGATGTTTCTCAAATCACTGAGTTTTCTTAGTTACAAATTTCCCTTCTCTTCTATGGGCTTGTTCTACTGGTGTCAAGGCTTTCCTGAATGCTTACAGCATGAAAATTATAATGAAAATGAGTCTTGACTGTTCTAGTGTTTCTCACAGAATTCTGAATGGAAATTAAGAATGACTATTGATGGTTTTCAAGTTTCAGAAGCCTATCTTCCTTATTCTTTGGAATAAAATAAAAAGCTTTTATTATTTTCATGAAAGGTACTTATCTCATTAGCTGTTCTTGGATAAAAAAGCTCAGAATTTTCATTCCCTCTTCGTTCTGTGGTCTCTCAGTCTCTGTTTCTCAAAAAAAAAAAAAATCTGTTTTCTTTCTGATTGACAGTTCTGAAAGTGAGAGGAAAAAAATTAATACACTGCTTCTGTTTGTACCTCAGCTCTCTATCCTCATACACAAAGGAAATACTACAACACATATATTTATAACAGTCTACAATTTTATGATTATTTTTGTTTGTGAACTTGCTTTGTATATTCATTTTTCTCATGTTTTTTTCTTATCTGTACCTTTCAGTGTCAGATTTGTTTTTTCTTTCTATGTTTTTGTACAGTACCATGCACAATGGAACTTTTTTCAGCTAGGATTACTCAGCACTTGCATACCAAATGGTACTA